TGCGGAACCTCCCCTGCCTCCCCTGTGGCTCCAGCTGGGCAAACGGCACCAGGAACGGGCTGCTAGCCACGGGGCCAGCTCCACACACACCTCCAGGGAAGGGAATTCCACGCCTGCAGCCGGGGAGGAACGGGGCTGGTTCCCTCAACGCTTGGGGTGGGGAAAGCCAGCTGGAGGCACCTCAGAAAAGCCCCCTCCCCTGAGCACTGGGAGGCATTTTCAAGCTGCAGGACAGCCAGCCTGTAAGATAAAAACTAGACTTAAGGAATGTGGCTTAAGGACAGTGCAGTCTACAACTGCCCTTCCCTGGTAAAGGTCAGAAAAATGACTAAAGTTGTTTTAAAACATGGACACAACACAACCACAGCCTGACCACCCCGGGCAACCCAGGCTCCCCAACACCTCACTGGCAGCTGGAGGATTTACTAGAGGCTGTTACATTAAGAAAGGGGAGCTGAGTGTGCTGCTGGGTGAGAACTGGCCTTGCCCGTGCTGCTCCAATGCTGCAGAGGGGCCTGAAGGCCTGTCTGAGCCTGAGTGGAAGGTCTGCACACTGCTTTGGCTCTCCCAATAAAGGGTGTCTCATTTCCCTGCCGCTGTCGGCATCAAATCGAGCTGTAAATGCAAGATTCTATTTTTCTATTCCTTCCAGAAGACTGAAAGCTGAATAAAGCCTGTTAGCCATAACTGCCTGAAACTTGAACATGCTTAAACCTTCTGAATCCACCCCCCCTCCAGCAGTCCCACCAAACGAGACATGTTCTTTAGACTCCTTTTTTATTTCCACCATACAGGACTGAACAAGCTCCTACCAGAACCTACCCACACCGTGACGAGGGGACACGTCCCAGAGCACCCTCTGTGGCACATTTTAGGGGGGAGTTTGGCTCAAAAATCAAGACTTGGAGATCTAAAACCAAAGACTATTTAGAAGGGAGAGAATTCAAGTGCTTGCTGGAAGAAAATTACTGCCCGTTGACCATGTAACTGGAAGGGGATGTGGGTGTCATTAGAAGCCAACGCCTGCCCCACGATTCCAATTTACCCTGCCAAGAGTAAGGGATGGGGAGGAGGAATCATCACACACACGTTGGAAGAATATTAAAGCTAAAAGCATGCAGGAGTCTGTGACAAAGACTTGTCAGCTGCAGTGCTTGGAGTCCGGGGGCTCCATTTCTTTGTGGTTTTTGGCTCAGGGAATGAACATTTCAGACATTAAAGCAGCGTGAGCTGGTAAAATGCATTTGGAAACGTGGATCCCTCAGGTTCTGGCCTGGCTGCCCTCGGCCCTGCCCCAGCTCCTCACAGGGCAGTTCCGAGCGGTGGGACAGGGGTGGAGATGAGCAGATGATGGCATTTTGCAAAGATTCTTGATGAATAAACCCAATTGGGATTATAAAGCCTGATTAAAAGTTGCTTTTTCCCCCCCCTGTTACTGAAAGGGAATCAATAAAACCCAACTGGCCAGAGTAAGACTGAAGTGAAGGTGGCTGTGCCCAACCCTGAGGCAAACCCAGCAGCACAGCCCGAGCAGGGCCCTGGAATTCCCTCAGGGCATGGTCAGGGTTGGCCCTGCCCACAACAGCAAGCACAGAAACAACCAGGATGTGCCCCAACCAGGACGTGCCCCAACCAGGACGTGCCCCAACCGGGGGTTCGGTGCCAGTTTCCACCTCGGCCCCTCCTCAAAGCTCAACCACCCTGTCCACAGCAGGGACCAATAAAAAGCCCTTTTCAAACCTGCAAGAGTGAATGTGTAGCCCAAAATCCTGAGCTGCTGCAGCCGGGCTTTGCCCCGAGTCTGGGCTGGCACAGGACTCACTGTCCCTCCAGCGTAGCGCCCGTCCTCTTGGGGTCTCCTCCCAAACGTGGCAGCAGCTCTTTGAGGTAGCTTTTGTCTTTTGCATATGGAAGATCTGAAAGAAGGGGACAGCCCAGCATGCCAAGGAGAGATTTTGGAAGTGCCTGTGAGTGAGCTGAACGCATCCCGCGCGGCTCATCCGGAGCGGCTGCCAGAGCCCCCAACTCCTCCCAGGCTCAGCTCCCAAGAGGCTGCTGTGAGGACAAGGGTGATTTTCCCAAACTTTCCCCCTTAAAACACCATCTTGGGAATTCTGTCTCCTGTACCCACAGTTTCACAAAGCCAGGTTTTAAAAGCCCAGCATGAGCCAGGCTGCTGTCCCCTTTTCCTGTTAACATTCAGGGAAAATGGGGGGAAAAAAAAGTCTGGATTGGGTTATTTGAGCAGGGGTGGAATAACCCAGGTGGGTTTGCTCAGAACTGCCACGGGGAGGCCACAAGCTGGATCCTGTGGGGCAGGAGAGCAGCACCACCCCGACCACACGGGGGGACACCTGGTGGCTGTGATGTCCCCGAGCTGGAGGGAGCCTCTGCAGGTCCAGCCCTTCAGCTCCTCTCCCCAGCTCATGCACAGGCCTGTCGGGGGGTGCCCTGCTCCAGGTGCCTCATTGGCAGCTGTTAAAACACCCCAAACTTGCACTGGTAGGAGAACAGCACATTTTAAAATAAAGAAAAATCCACTGCAATGGAACATTCTCAGCCAGGGAAACACAGAAGAGAGGAACGTTCCCAGCAAGGGCTGGGCCACAGGAAGGGGAAGCCCTGAAGCAGCATGGGCAGGACGAGGCTGAGCTTGCTCAGAGCTTCAGAGTCTGCTGGAGAGTCATTCCCTTGGCTCCAGTCCCTCCAAACCCAAGCAGCTTCCCACACCAGCACACCAGGTTCGTGTCCCAGATGTTGAGGCTTTTCCCTCTTCCGTCAACACCCGGTGCTTCAAAACCAGCAGCTGAGAAGCAGGGTTGGAGGGAAGCTCTTCACACACACGATGCTCCCAGCTGCAGAGGTTCTCACCAAGTTCTTGTTTTGAGAGGGAAGCAGCCCCAGGTCTTCCCCGAGAGCCGTGGGTCCTGGGGTGAGGTCTCCAGGCAGCCCAAGGCAGGAATCTGTCCCAGTCCCAGGGCCAGCTGCAGATCCTGCCCCCAGGGCAAGAGAGTGTTCCATGGCTACTCTCCCTTGGTGGCCACCTCGCCAAGACCACGTGTAACTTGGCTCCCCAAGGTGGCAGATGGGTCACTGGCACCTTTGCTGCACGTCTACCTCTGCAATAACCAAGGGGGGTTATGGACAAACGTGGTATTTGTGGTATGCCCTGAGGAGGAGCTGTCTTCTTGCAACTCCTGGACCAGTCCTTGCTTCACAATCCTGAGAAACATCCCTCTGGAGTCCAAAAAGCACTGGCCTCTCACCTCAGCTGGCAGGAGGTGCCCACACAGAGCCCTTACCCCAAACACAACGGAGGCTGCAGCCCTTTACACGAGAACACCCAAGGACCACAAAGATCAGAACCCAAGGAGAAAGATCCCTTGGGATTGAAGACAATCAGTTATTCCTTTCTAACCCCAAATTTGTCCCAGGAGAAAAAGGGGACTGGGTTTAATAAATAGTCCTTTCTGAAATTATAAATAAGTTAAAAATTAATTTAAATCAGGCTAATACTTGAATAAATACGTTTCAGTAAGCAGTTAAATACATACATGCTTTTTTTTTTTCCCCCCCCTCCCATGTTAAAATTTTCAAGTTACAGCTCGTGGTTTAAAGAAGCAAGTTGTAGAACACTGCCATAAAAAGTTGTGCCTTCAGGAAATAAAATATTGCTTTTCTTAGCCCTTGAGAATGGGATTCAGACCCTACCTGCTGCGATGGGTCAGATCTACTCATTATTGCTTGTAAACCTGAGGAAAAAAGGAACCATCAGAGATCTTTAAGGAAGCTGCTGTCTCCTGGAGGCAGGTTCTCTGCCTGCACCTTTCTAGAGAACCATTTTGACTTTTGGGTCTCAAAAAAAAAAAAAATCCACCATGTTTCCTATCAGGCAGGGAGAGGTTTTAGGTTTGAGCTGGGAGAGATTCCTGACCAGCCTGTCTGTATAAAGGTATTGACAGCTGGCTTCAAGTCCCTGCACCCAAAACGCCCAGGGTACTTCCTGAGGTGTAACTGGCACCCTGGGCACTCAAAAACGAGATCAGTTTTGCTACAGGTGAATGATCTAGTCCCAGAGATCAAACAGGTAAGGCAAGATCAGCCTCCTCCACCACGCGTGGGAAAAGGACTGACTGGGAAGAGCCCTTGGAAGCGGAGTCACACCCGGAGTCGTGCCCACTGACATTCACCCAAACCCCACGGCCTGTGCAAGAGGCTGCTGAGCAGCAGGCAGCCCATCCCCGACAGGAAATGCCCAAATCTGCCACCTGAGTTCAGAGTTCTGGTGTTTGAAGGAGCTCCCAGAAGCCTCTCAGTGCCCCAGAGGCTGCTCCCCGCGGGCAGGCCCACGAGCGCCCCGCGGCTCGGCCCCCCACAGGCTCTTTGGTTGGGTGCAGGAGCAGCTCAAGGGGGGCTGGGGACCCCTCCCTGACTCCCCCCTGTTGCTGCAGCCCCGGCCCTGCTATCTAGAGAGGTGGGAGCTGCTCTGGGACTGGCTGGAAGAGGTCGTGGCTCCACTCAGCTGGGAAAAGCCGCTGTTGCAAGACTCCAGGCTGGACATGGACCCCCTGGGAGGGGAGAAAACAGAGGCAGTGGTTAGGGGAGCTGCCCTCAGGGGGTGACTCTGCACCCAGCACATCCACTCACTCCCCAGAACCCTGGCAGAAGGTTCTGAAGTTCTGTCCCATCATTTCCAACTCGTTCTCTAAGCGTCTCTGTGTGGTGATGGAAGGTTCATTTCTCAGAGACCTCCTTTTCCCAGCTGCAGACATTGTGCCTTGTGTCCCTCAGGGATTTTGGGAGCAGGGAACAGCTGGAGCCTCGGTGGGGCTGCTGCAGTCACTGCCCCGAGCAGGAAGGAAACCTCAGGAGCTCTCCAAACACAGCAGAGCTCAGTGACAGCAGCCACAGCAAACCTGAGACCTCCAGCACGTCCAGCCATGGTCTTCAGCTCCCTCTGCCAGGGTTCACCACAGCCCTGACTGCCCAAACTGAAGCAGCCAGAGCAACAGGGAACACCTTAGAATGACTGGAGTGAGGCACCTGCTGCTGCTCCTGCTCCACAGGATCCACACAGGTCACCTCCTCAGGGTTGTCCCCTGCCCATCTGTGAGTTTGTTCTACCTGACACTTCCTCCAGCTCCTACTGACTGGTCACGTACTGGCAAAGAATTTAAAATGTGGGTGATTTGAAGAGTGCTGTTAGCACCAGAGGAGGCTGGGCAAGGCCTGCCAAGGTTGATGGATCTGCCTGTGCAGGAGCACTGTCCAAGTCCATCCACCTCCTCAGGGTTGTCCCCTGCCCATCTGTGAGTTTGTTCTACCTGACACTTCCTCCAGCTCCTACTGACTGGTCACGTACTGGCAAAGAATTTAAAATGTGGGTGATTTGAAGAGTGCTGTTAGCACCAGAGGAGGCTGGGCAAGGCCTGCCAAGGTTGATGGATCTGCCTATGCAGGAGCACTCTCCAAGTCCATCCTCCTCAAGTGCCAAATGGAATGTGTTATGAACTAGCCCAACTGATATTTGTTAAGTTGCACCAAAAGTAACTTCCCAAAATGTTGCCAGCTAAGATCAAAAAGTCCTCAGCCAAAACCCTCCCCCTCTTCAGGCAGCTGGAAGCAAGAACAGAATCACCAATTCCACTGGTGGACACCCAGCCAAGGGTTGAGTCCCTTATTACCTACAGCACTAAAGGAGATTCTTCACACAAAATGCCACCACGTTTGTGTCCATCTATCTGATCACCAGTGAAACGGACACCCCGTGGAGGTCACTGGGTGTTTCACTCCTGCCCAGTCCTCTCCTTTGGCCTCCCCAGCACAAGAAATCCCCCAGTGAACCTCCCACCTGAAGTCCTTGGAGGCCAGCACCTCGTAGTAGTAGATGAGCTTGCACTTGTGACTGGAGACCTGCAGAGAGGCCAGGACGTCGTCCACGCGGGGCAGGCTGCTGCCAGCACAGGGCAGGGGGCCGTGCACCTTCCACTGCAGGATGTAGAAGCCAGGCCAGCGAGTCACATGAGAGCCCTGGGAAGGGAGGAAGGAGAGTGTCACCAGGGGATGGCATCTTCAGAACCAGAGGGGTCACCCAGCAAAGCCCACGTGTGCTCCTGGGGTGATGGCTGTGAGGAGCATGAGGTGTTCACACGCCTGGGCCTCACCCCTGTCATGCTAGGAAAAAAACTAGTTATCTTCAATTAGCTTCTTATCATGGATTACTGAAACTCTTTCCAACAGCTCAGCCTGAATTTGGACTGGAATAGAATCACAGAGGCATTCTGGTTGGAAATGACCTCGAAGATGATCAGGTCTAACCATCCCTCAGCACTGCCAGGGCCCCACTGCCCCGTGTCCCTCACACCACATCTCCACAGCTTGGAAACCCCTCCAGGGGTGGGGACTCCACCACTGCCCTGGGCAGCCTGGCACAGCCCTGGGCAACCCTCCAGGGCAAGAAATTGTTCCTCAGGGACAACTGAAACCTCCCCTGGGGCAACTTGAGGCCGTTTCCTCTTGTCCTGTCCCTTGTTCCTTGGGAGCAGAGCCCGACCCCCCCCTGGCTCCAGGCTCCTGTCAGGAGCTGTGCAGAGCCAGAAGGTCTCCCCTGAGCCTCCTTTGCTCCAGGCTCAGCACCCCCAGCTCCCTCCGCTGCTCCTACGCAGACTTGGGCTCTCGACCCTTCCCCAGCCTCATTGCCCTTCTTCAGACCTGCTCCAGCCCCTCAAGGTCCCTCTTGGAGTGAGGGGCCCAAAACTGACCCCAGTTCAGAACACAGAATATCAGCCACTTTCACAGGGAATCCAGAGAATGACCACCACATGATCTCCATGCCATCAGTTCCTTCCCCTGCCCACCACCAGGCCCTTCTGGTGTTTGCAAGGACTCTAAGATCCATGCCAGGACCCAAACCCATCTGACCTGGATGCTCTCTCCTTCCCTGCAGACCAGTGGAGACTCCACACGGCTGTAATCCACCCCCAGGACCCAGGTCTTGTCAATCAGCTGTGTGTTGTCCCCAGCAGCTGAGGCACTGGGCAACGTGGCCTCTTTATGACTTGATTCAGGAGCCCGTTTGGAGTGGAAGAGGCTGAACACCACATCTCCCTTCAGGATGTCAAAGTCCCAGGTGATCACAGATTCCTCTTCCAGGATCTCCACAACTATCTACGAAGGGAAGAGCACAAGCATGCTGTAGAGTCAGGTCCTCAGGTGGCAGCCAGAACATCCCTCCCCACTCCCCAGACACCCTCTGCTCTACAATCCTTCAGTGAAGCTACTGGGTTGGATTCTGAAGGAGGACACAGACCAGTTCCCATTGCCAGTCTGCAGCCACAGTTCATCTGCTCAGGCATTTCTACCCCAGAGATGCCTGTAAATCATTCCTAGCTCTAGGAAAACCCCCATGGAACTGGAGGGCAGCATTCAGGACACAGCAAAGAGCACTTTCTGGCTGGCTGGGCACTCCAAAGGGCACTGCTGCTTCCCAAGCTGGACAGAGCTCCCCAGAGCAGCCTGTTTTGACCCTCCAGTGCTCCTCTCTTTTGGACATTCTGCTTTTTGATGACCCCCACCAGGATGTTCCCAGTACATACTTTCTCCTCTCACCACTATGACTGCCCCAGCTACACCCCTGAGACTGGCAGCTGTGCTGTCAGAAGGAAGCTTTATTTCCCCAAGGAGGAGGAAGAGGCAGAAGATCAGGCCACAGTAAAGCTAAGAGACACTGCCTCTCAAATGGCAGTTCCTAACTTCCACACTTCCAGCTGTTGGCTGGCATTAGGAAGGCAAACTGCTGCTGCACCATCTTCTGCTCACACTTTGGGACCCCTTAGTGGTTCTTGTCCAGTCCTAGCAAAAGCAGCACGTCACTGGTAGCAGCTCAGCACCTCCTCCAGCCTGATGGTTGGTACCTCATGTGGAGCTCCTCTGAGGACACTTGCAGAATGATAGATGGTTTCTGTCCACAGCCGGATGTGATCCGAGTTCTCTGACTCCTCTTCTGTCTGGTACAGTGCCTTGGGCACCAGGCCACCCTCTGGGACAGTGCACTGCAAGAGTCCAACACACCCCCAGCAGGGCTCACACCAACCTGCTGCCCAAACACCAAGTCACCTGCACCACGAGCCCTCAGCAGCTGTCAGACACAGAGGCTGACACCCTCAGCTGGCAGGAGACTTCACAGGGGCACCAAGTTTACTGGTCTATAATGGTTTGTCTGAGCTCTGCTGAGAGAGCTGACCTCTCACCCCCTTCTCCAGGGCAGCACCACTGCTTGAGGAAGTCTCCTACACACCATGATCAGAGTTGGGACATCCCAGCCAGAACAGAGGTTTAGCCACCCTTCTGAAGGGAGTGGAAGGCCAGGGAGTGGAAGGCCAGGGAGCTGAGGGAGGCTGGACATTGCAGGAAGGAAAGCTCACCATGCAGTCTCCTCCCAGGAAGTCTGGGATCACCTCTTTGTCCACGTAGTCTACCAGCCCTCCTGGACCCTGGTAGTTATTCCCACTGTAAATGAGGAACTTCTGCCTTGTGTTCTCATTGATAAATGGGCTGACCTGAAATAACCAGCAGACAGAAGACATCACTCTCACTGAGAGATGTCAGAGACAACGTTTACACCATCTTACATGGATGCTTCAGGTCTCAGCAGCAGCAGTGCAGAGCTTTGCAACTCTGAGCCCCAAAGAAAGGGCAACAAACAGAGAGTGCACTATGGATCATCTCACAGCATTTTCTACTTCACCTAAAATAAGTCTGCAGTCACTGCACCACATATAAACCTCACTAGAACTTTAATGAGCACGTCCTTACACTGCTGGAGCAGTCAGCAGGCACCAGGCAGGACCATATTTATCACTCTCCTCTTCAGTGTCCTCCCAGCATGAAATTAAACAATACTTGTCTTTGCTCCTCAACATGAAAATCCACCAAGTTGGGGCTCCCTCTGCTGCATGAGGATTTGCAGTTTAGGTTGGACATCCTGTCCTGTCCTGGTGGGCAACAGGCACTAGAATCAGAAGAGCTACAGGCATGCTCTGCAGCCATGCTGTGGCCTCGTGAGGAGTTCAGCCCCAAGATCCCTGGAAGCTTTTCCCTCCCTAACTCTGGAAACAAGCAGAGCTCACACTGCCTGGAGGATTTAGCCATTTGCAGGTGCACAAGTGCTCAGGATGCCACAGTCCAGGTTTCACCCACCAGAGTCCAGAGCACAGGAAAGACCCGGGGTGCTCTGACTATCAGCAGCCTGCCCAGGGTCTCGGGGTAGTTGTCCTCCACCACCTCGATGATCCGAAGCAGGGCCTTAACCCCAGGCCTCCAGAGGTGCCTCATGTTCAGCCCTTCCAAGTCCACCAGACACGTCCAAGACCTAAAATAAACATGCAGAAAAAGTCCTGTCAGAACCTTCATTGCACAGTGGCTGCTCATCCACCAAATAGTCCAGCAACACCACAGTCTGGACAGGATCTACCGAAGCCAAGCAGGTAGAGCAGCAGCTCTAACAGAGAGCAGATGGCCACTCAGGCAGCAGAGAGCCCAAATCCAGGGAGCTTTTGGGTAAACCAGACACCCAGCCCTGAAGGCAAGAACATATTCTGTCAGTGTGGAAGAAGGCTTGCAGGCTTACTGCCACAAATAATTCAAAACTTAAGTTTTAAATGAAAGTGGAATCTGACAGTTTTCTGTATTAAAAAAAGAAGAGCATTTCATGGAGCTGGATGAAAATTACCAAGATAGCAAGATTAAATTTATCTGAAGGGGGGGGGAGAAAGATGTAGGGAAGGAGCAATACTTGCTCTGGTGTGAAGGTGGAGCATTTCTCTGCATTTGAGTATCCCAAGCCCATAGCAGGGACACGCTGCTGTCTGCAGGTTAACCCTGAAGGACATGACCCAAAACCTTCACAGAAGCATTCTCCTCACCATGCCAGCTGTAAGGACACCAGAAAACTAACTGCACTCACGTGATGGGGCGGCCAAAGGTGTTGGTGTTTTCCTCACATCTCTTTTGTCCTTCCTCATTAATTGACAGAACCTACAACCAAAGATGGTACAGAAGAGGATTAGCCTGAGTATGCCTGGGAAACCAGGACAGCCCAGAGATCTTACTGCAGAACCTACAGAACTCAGAGCATAGCAGCTGGAGAACCTGCAGTGTGCAGAACAGGACAGTCTACATTAAAAAGGCTTTTCTATTAGTCAGTTGTGCTGATCATACACGGTACAGATACTGAAAATCGAAGATGAAATGTAGGAGTCTCAAGATCAAACATTATTTATTAGTGGAGCTGCCTGAAAGGGCCATGGAAAGGTCACAGTTAAACTGCACATTGTTAGGAAACCCCTCTCTGGCCCTTGCACACCCTGACAAGGGTGTCACCCCTGTCCCTGCAGGAAGACAGAGCAGCTGTGCCCTGCCAAAGTCACCGAGCTAACTTTGAGTTGCCAACCACAAAGCAGAGGAGTGATTTGCATCAAGTAGGTTCTGGCTGCACCACAGCAAGGCTTCCAAGCACCTGAGGGAGATGGAGCTCAGGAGGTGAGCAATGGCAGGGCCACTCACGTGTCGCAGCAGCGACTCCTCTCCCAGGGCCTTCACCAGACCTTTGGTGTCCATCTGGCCAAGGCGAAGGATGTAGAGCGGTCGCCCATCTTCAAAACAAACACAGGGGTTTAAGGAGGGAAATGCTCTTGTCTCCCAGGCTATCCCTCTCATGAAAGCCACAGTAGATATTCAAAAACCACATGAGATATTCAAAAAGGATAAGACCCACATCCCAAGGCAACCTTCTCCACCTCCTCCCAAAATCCCACGTTACTTCTGAGGTCCCGTAACACGACCTGTGCCGTAGCCCCAATGCCAGGGGGCAGCTGCTAACCTCTGTCTTGATAATGCCACCCTCCTGTGTAGTACTCCTCCAGGAGGGCTGGGGGCCTCCAGGACTGCAGGATGTAATCCACCTGGAACTGCTTCCTCCAGGCCAGGGACTGGCAGAGCATCTCCCGGGCTTTGTCCAGGTTGAAGTCCCGCGCCCGCAGGAACCGAAGGATGTGTTCATCTTTGGGGATCTGAGGGAAGAAGTCCAAGGGTCAAGACTGCCCCTTTACCTGCAGCCCTGTCCCACAAAGCCAGCAGAGAAGCCTGCAGAGCATGCACCACGTTTCAACCTCTTCAAACTCTTCAGCTTACCTTCTGTGTCCCTCCCTCCTGGACCACAGCCCAGCTGAGTGCAGCAGATGGGGCCAGGAGCACAGAGGAAGGGCCTGACTGGCAGCCTGGGAGAAGCCTTTCACTGCTCCAACCACAGAATCATCTTGGTTGGAAAAGACCTTCAAGATCCTGGAGTCCAACCATCCCCCAGCCCTGCCAGGTCCCCACTGCCCCGTGTCCCTCACACCACATCTCCACGGCTTGGAAACCCCTCCAGGGGTGGGGACTCCACCACTGCCCTGGGCAACCCTCCAGGGCAAGAAATTGTTCCTCAGGGACAACCTCAACCTCCCCTGGGGCAGCTTGAGGCTGTTTCCTCTTGTCCTGTCCCTTATTCCTTGGGAGAAGCGCCCAACCCCCACCTCACTGCAACCTCTGTCACTCCTCCCAGCACTTTCCATCAATAATTGTAGCATCATGGACACAAAAGCTCTCCCAGAGCAAGTCTCGAGAATGGCTCTTTCCAACCTCTTTCCAATCTCCCGTGTTCCCTTTATCTGAAAAATAATTTGCCACTAATTCCAAACCACAGGAATTAAGAATAAACCTGACAGATTCCATAGGAACACCAAATTTGCCTAAAATCCTGTGGGCTGCAAACCCAGCTGGATTCTAGCTGATTTCTCAGTTCCTTCACCCCAGCTCTCCCAAAGCACCTGGTCTCCCTTCACTACACCAAGTTTCCACTAAAAACTCAAGTTCAGGCAGGCAGGGTCTCCTCTGGAGCATCTGCACGGTGCTTAGCACCAGGCAAGCCCTGCCCTCCTACAACAAAAGCGTGTGTTCAAGAGTCAAAAGCTCTTTTGTTTGTTTGTTCACAAAAAAACAGAGCAGAGAAGAGAGCAAAGCTGCCAGCAGCCTCATGCTGGGAGCAATCCCAGTTTCACCAGCTGGTGTGAAGCTGCAGGAGATACTAAGAATTGATTCCACCCAAAGGAAGGGGCAGAGTTCAGGCAGCCTAAAGCCAAGCCTAGAAGAACCTGAGGAGGAGATGGGAGATTAGGGCTGCTCAAAACATTCTAATGCTGCAGAAAGGAAAAGGGGCAGCCTGCCCAAATCAGGTCTCAGGTGTCCTTAGAAGAATACCACGAAATTTTCTGCGTTGTAGGAAGATGAAAGGCAGCAGAGTTTTTATTAGACAACTTCCATTTGCCTTTCTGCTGCTCAGAGGAAGGTGTTGGCCACAAAACAGACACAACCCACAGACACCCACGACAGCCCCTGGATCTCCTGTGACCAGGGAGGGGATGGCTGCTCAAAGCTTTTGTTACTTTTCATGCTTCAGCTCTACACTGTACAGAGCTTCAGGTGCAAATTCAGTGCTTCTGTTTGGACCAAAGGCAGAAAGCTCCCAGGAGACTTATTCTGGAGTGGAATTAATCTCTTATCTTTTTCCAACCAAAGCAGAAACTCCCCTAAAGCAAGAAAAGTGAAGTTTTCATTTCATCCTGCTTTTCTGTTTACTGTTGAAGCCACGTGTAGGTGGTGCATTGACCACCAGCTCCAAAGCACCTGCAAAGTTAACACCATCTCTAGTTTGTTTCTTCAACAGCTCCTATTTTTAAAGCAATGATAAATCTGATTCTAATGGATAATGTCTGCTCTGGAAGGAACAGGGAATGGGTAGTGAAATAAGATGAAGAAGACAAAAATAAGAAGGGATATTCTCCAAGAAACAGGAGTCCTAGCAATGTTTTTTGACAGAGGAGTAGGGACAACCCTGCTCCAAATTAAAAGAACAGATTGTCACAGGATGGCAACAGCCTCTCCAGAGAGAGCTTGAGTCATGTAGGGCCAGTTCCTGATTTTGTGTTGCTCTGACAAGCAGTCCAGAGAAGCAAAGAGGTGAGCAGCAGGGAGTCTGGAGGAAATTTTAACAGCCAGCAGCATCCTTCCTACCTGCTCAAGCAGGGCACAGAGCTCACAGAGCCTGCAATGCACACTGGGTCTGTGGCAGCTCCTGCTTGTCACCAGGAGCAGCACTGGCTGCACCTCACAGGGTTCCTGTCAGGAGGAACAGGGCTCCAGGCACTCCCAGAGGCAGCTGTTTGGGTTTTCACTCATGTGCTGGCACTTCTACCTCCTTCAGCTTCCATTCCCCAGCCTCTGACTAGGAGGGGGGGAAAAAACAACCCACAGAACTAGAGAGATAAAGGTTTAGATGGTACTTCTTCCACCTGAAACCAAGATCCTTGCAGATCACAGGCATGGATAAAGTCTCACTGTCTGACTCCCATCTAGGGCTTGTTTTCAGCTGGATACCCAATAGCTGAGATATCTCCTACCACACAAGCCCACACCTCTTTTTTTCACCACACAAGTCCACAGCCAGCCCCAGCTGTTACTCAGAGGCAGAGAAGCATCATAGTGACATGAGAGAAGCTGCAGGGAGATGTCCAGACAGTCCTTCACAAGGTCCTCTGCTCCATCAGGTGTGTGTCTGTCCCTGTAGTCCCTACCTGCATCTAGCAGCCACCACACTCCTGGGCATGGCCCATCTTGATGCTGCTCTGTACCAGTGGCCTTGGACAGACTTGGCAGATGTCTGGTGTTCTGAATTAATCAGCTCCCAGATTCAATAGTTTCTGGAGCTTATTAGCTGCTGGGAGACTTTCACACACTGTCCTTCTCTGGCCATGCTCCAGCCCCTCAAGGTCCTTCTTGGAGTGAGGGGCCCAAACCTGAACCCAGGATTTGAGGTGCAGCCTCCCCAGTGCCCAGCCCAGGGGCACGATCCCTTCCCTGCTCCTGCTGGCCACACTAGTGCTGATCCAGGCCAGGATGCTGGTGGCCTCCTTGGCCACCTGGGCACACTCTGTCTCATCTACAGCCAGTTGTCAGCCAAACCCCCCAGGTCCTTTTCTCCCAGGGAGTTTCCAGCCACTCTTCCCCAGCCTGGAGCATTGCCTGGGGTTGTTGTGACCCAAGGGCAGGACCCAACCCTTGGCCTTATTGAAGCCCATCCCTTTGTCCTCAGCCCCATCCAGCCTGTCCTTGACCCTCAGAGCTTTGCTGGCGGGTTGAAAGCAGATGAGCTCTGAGCAGGATCAGGGGGAGGCTGGCACAGGGCTGCTCTGTGCCTCAGGTACCCACCTTGCCCTTGTGTGTCTCCTGCAGCCACTGGCGGAGGCGGATCAAGCAGCTCTCCTGCAGGGGAGTCAGCTGGCCCAGATAGCGCTCGATGTAATCGGCGTCCAACTTGTCAGCTGCAGGGGAAGAGAGAACAGAACAATTCAGAGGAGACTCCTCACAGGGCCAGAAGGGATGTGCACGATTATTTCTACGCATCAGGTTGCTTATGATTTCCACAGGAAGAGCAGGGCTGCCCTCATTTCAGCTGGCTGAGGGAAGGGAGCGATACTCTCGCGGCGAGCAGGGGGTGAGGACACGGCACGTGAGGCAGCCAAGCCAGACCTCTCTGCCTGTCTCTCAGGACACTAATATCTCATTCCACCCTGAACTGCTCCAGCAGGAGCTTCAGCAGTCATATCAGGAGCTCTGGCACTCACCTCGTTAACCACTGGGCACTTTAATCCCTGGCTGTCCTCAGGATCTTATGCACAACCCCAGTGACAACAGGCTAAAAAGCAGCTAGCTGAAAACTGAAGTGAAGCACAGGCACATCCAAGAGAAGAGGAGAATAACTACTGCTTCTGACTGAGATTTTGGTGTGAGGAGAACCCCTGTGCAGCAGCTCGAGGTCCCTCTGGGTTGGAGACAAAGGACAAGGGCTTGGAGAGTGCCAGCATTCAGAGACAGAGGCAGATGTGCCACCCGAGGCTGGTGTGTGCAGATGCCAAGGAGAGTGTGGTACCCAGATGGGAGCAGCACAGGCTGGAGCTGTGCTGGAGGCAGCCCAGGAGGGTGGCTGGAGGACCATCTCTGAGCCAGCTCTTCAGCAGGCAGGACTTTTTTTTCCCAGCAGATACCATTAACTGCAGAGCAGGGCCTACAGAGAGCACCCACAGGATAGGCTGTTGTTGGCTGATAGAGGAACTGCATTTGATAAATGCTTGGCCCCCACTGAATCCCCAGAGCTAGGGAGCAGTCCCAAGGAAGCTAATCACTTCCTGAACTTCAAAATAACCAGAAAAATAAGACCTACTCTCCTCTTCTGATCTGCCACTCTTAGATTAGCTTTAATCTCAAAGCACAAGAATGTTTCTAGACTTGGCTCCTCTGTGGATTTCAATGTTTTTTTTCCAGATGGGTTCCAATACAGAGAAGCTGCCAGAGGAGGTCTGGTGAGACCAGAACCATTGATAGTTCCCAAATTCCAAATTTTGCCCTAGTTACACTCAGCAAAACAAGTGCTATCTTTCCTTCTGAGGATTGACAGTTCCTCTTTCTAATACCACAGCTCTGCACTGAAAGGCCTCTCCTATTTCTTCTTGCCAGAGAAGAGTTTTATTTAGTCTAGAAGATAGCATCAAACCAACACAGAAAGATCAAGCCCAAATCAGGGATTTATGGTGAGAAATGCACTAGGCAACATTCTACACGTTTGTCTTGGCCTAACATAAGAGCAAAAAACATCTGAACAGTAATTTTGATAGGGCTGATATAATTCATTTTAATTCAGTTACAACATCCTCCAGATACCTTTCAGTTTCTCCAAATTAAGGTATTAAATACCTTACAGGTCAGATCAACACCAACTGTTTTTCTAAGCTCAAACAAAACCACACTGACTGCACAGTATTTCTTGGCTTTTTAGTTTTTGGGGGGGTTGGGGAAGTTCTATAGGTTGGGTTTTTCTTAAAGAAAGAAAATAACTTTCTCTCCTCCTTACCCACAATCCAGAAGAAAAACCTCATGCCAAAAAAAAAGTAAAAATAAACTTATTAGTCAGTGCTACTCGAGGCATTTAGGTCCAGCAGCAGCCAGTGCCTGGAGCTCACCTACCATCAGGGCTGACAGCTTCTGCTGGAGGGCAGGAGCTGCCAGTCTGCTCCTTGGTGTTGCCAGCAGCCCCAGAGTCCAGTGGCAGGTCAGCAGTGTGCCCAAGGGCCGGGGGCTGCTCCTCCTGCTGTCCAGAGGCTGTGGGAGGAGCCCAGCGGGGGATGAAGGTGATCCCCTGGGAGATCAGCTCCTTCAGGTAGTGCTCAATCACCTCCTTGCCCTGCAGGGGGGAAAACTCGTTAGGAAACAGCAATTCCACCTCCCCAGAACCAGCAAGGTGTTGAAGAGTCTTCCTCAGGACAGATGACTGAAGGGAAAGATTTGTCTCCTGCCATCTGCAGGACCCTGTTGGCAGAGCCCCAGCCTGAAAGCACCACACAAATGGAATCTCACAACACTGGCCAGGCAAATTGCAATGCTATGGATGCAGCAGCTACCTTCAGAACACTTCTATCCCTTCTCCTGCTCCCAAGGGCCCAGCTTACCCTCTTGATGTTTGAAGTGTACTGCTTCATGGCAATCTTCTCCACCGTGCTCTCAAAGCCAAAAAAGGACTTGATGTCCAGAGAGGCAGACTGTTCAAAGCAAGTCCACTCCTCGTTCTCAGGGTGAACCTAAGCCCAAAGACACAGGGTTGGAGGGTAGGAGTGAGTTCACCACAGCCCTGGTGCCAAACCAGCCAGTTCCCCTCCAGAGCTACAGAGCAGAAGCAGCTCCCTGTGAAGCACCAACAGGCCCAGGTTTAATTGTCAGATTAATTCCCCCAGAGCACCAGAAACACGCCATGGATGCACAGCTGGGGTTAAAACTCACACAAGGAAACCAAAATCGAGCCCCATCTCTGCCCCTGAATGGTAATATTCACAGCAAAAGTTGCTGGAAAATAGTCCTGAGGCTTCCCAGTGGAAACCCTCATGTCAAGGCCTTACAGGAAGAAGGGCAGCATGCAATTAAACCCCCCACATCAGCAAAGGAATTAAAATGCAAGCCAGGTTTGTGTCTAGGTTTGAGTAGGAAACTCAGCCACTAATGTCATTCTCCCCCCAAAACCCAGGAGACATGGCAGAGCAGGGAGTTTTCCCACTGTTCTCCCACTCTCCAGCCATGTCCCCTCAGTTACTCTCTCTATGGTAAAACCAACACAACCTTTTCCTTTTTTAAACTTCACCATTTTCTGAGAGATCTTTCTCTCTTCTTTGGAGGTGCTGCTCTCCACAAACTGACATCAAAGGAAAAAAAAATAAAAGATTCCAGCTCCCCCACAAACCCAGGAGCTCAAGAAAGGCCACGAAATCCCCCAGGGAAGAGATTAAGTAACTGCAAGAGCAGGATCCTATTTCTCCAAGTCGCTTCAGAGAAGGCTGCAGGAAAGGAAAGATGAGAATCGACCTGTTTCCGCTGCACCCTGGCAGGGAAAAGGGAACTGGTAAAAATAGAGCTGGGAAGCATGCTGAGGATGCAGCCAGCCCCCACCCTGCTCCAGGAAGAACGTTCTCCCCCCTCAGAGCCCAGCCACTGACGTTTCCTTCCGAAGGACACCGAGCTGGAGGCAACGGGGCCAACATCAGCAAGTGCAACAATGTCCCAGAGATTCCAGAGCTGACCTGGGAGCCTTTCAGAACTGTCAGCACCTTCCACAATGTGGGAAGTTTGATTTACTGGAGTTTTTTTGGAAGCCCCGAGTAGCCACCGAGTGATCTCTGGGCTCAGGAAACTCCCCCCCACCCTCCAAAACATTAAGAGCTTTTCAAGTCTTTGTCTTGCCTCAAAGGGAAGCTACTTAGGGTTTGCTTACCCAAAAAGCTGAGCTGCTGTCCGCTTGCCAAAAGGGCAGGTAAGTAACAGGATCTGGACTTTTGTTTCGGGAACAAAAGGCAGTATCTGATTGCTCCCAGAAAGGGATGAAGCTATTTAATGGTGACTGAGCCCTAATAGCACAATTACACACTGCTGCTGAAGGTACAGCCACAAAGGGAGACACCCCGGGCCACACAGAAGGCTCAAGACCTTCCTCCAACTATTTAGAGCATGACAGTCGTGACAAGGTGCTAAAACTTCCACTTATTTGTGGGCAAAATTAATTGCCAGACTTCCCTCTGGCTGTCGTCAAAACAAATATTGATTTCCTTCTAAACATCCAGATCTAAATTCATGTGCAAGCTCCAGATGCTTAAGTTGAATCTCAACTAAAAAGAAGCCCAGCAGTTCTGGATGTTTTCACTCTCACCCTAGGGATTAATACTCCAATCAGAGAATCATCATCAGCCTAAACCACAGTCAATCTACTGTGATCAGTTTTGGGCCCCTCACCCCAAGAAGGATCTTGAGGGGCTGGAGTGTGGACAGAGAAGGGCAACAAAGCTGGGGAAGGGTCTAGAGCCCAAGTGTGGGGAGGAGCAGCGGAGGGAGCTGGGGGTGCGGAGCCTGGAGCAAAGGAGGCTCAGGGGAGACCTTCTGGCTCTGCACAGCTCCTGACAGGAGCCTGGAGCCAGGGGGGGGTCGGGCTCTGCTCCCAAGGAACAAGGGACAGGACAAGAGGAAACGGCCTCAAGCTGCCCCAGGGGAGGTTGAGGTTGGAGCTGAGGAACAATTTCTTGCTCTGGAGGGTTGCCCAGGGCTGTGCCAGGCTGCCCCGGGCAGTGGTGGAGTCCCCACCCCTGGAGGGGTTTCCAAGCCGTGGAGATGTGGTGTGAGGGACACGGGGCAGGGGGGACCTGGCGGTGCTGGGGAATGGTTGGTCAATGATCTTAAAGGTCTCTTCCAACCAAAACAATTCTATGATTCCATAAAAAAGTTCCATAAGCCCTGTGAAAGCCCTGGGGAAAGCCCACACCCAAAGACCCAACAGCCCTGTCACTCCAAAAGCATCTTATGATAGCACACTAGTGTCCAGTGTTCAAATTCATTCAAGCAGCTCTCCTCCACGCATTAGTGCAGGACTCCCACCACTTCCTTCAGGGAGAAGGAGAAAAAAGCACTCACAGAGTAGCTACACGTCTCCAGGACAACCACCCTGTTGGCAAAGGTCTCGTTGTGGGCCTCGATGCGGAGAGTCCGCTCCTTCCAGTTCACTGTGTTCTTCTGGATGAAGAAAACATACTCTACCCCTGCAATCTGAGAAGCAGAAGAGTCAAAAGGAAGGGGGGGAAAAGAAAGAGTAACTTTAGGAGGCTTTATCTGAGCCAGCCAACAAAAGCCAGGGCTCTGTCCCCTAGGTGCCACCTGCCTTCTTCAGCAGCCTGGGAGCATCCACGTTCAGCTTGCAGCTCCGCTCAATGACGTGGATGGCTCCATCATCACTCCTGGATTCGTGCAGGATCTCACTCCCCAGGAAGACTGGGATCTCTGGGCAGGTGGGGAAACGCTTCTCATAGGCCTGGAAGGGAGAACAGAGCAAGCTTCAGCTTCTGGCTAGATCAACTCCAGCTCTTTCTGCATTCATCTGTTCCCTTACTGTACGAGTCCAGCACAAGAGAGGCCCTTCACTCCTGAGGAAAGGGAAGCCAGCACAGGGGCTGGAGTTAAAGCTGTGTCATCACTCATCAAGCTGAGTGTGCCTTAACCTCACTTTTCTTCCACACATGACCTCAAAACAAAAGCCTGCTGTCCAAGGGTGCTAGGAAGGGACTCCTAACAACTCCAACATCAGGAAGCTAATCTTTAGCTGGCAAAAGCAAACACAGCTCTGCTGATTTCTGCCAGCTAAAGACTTGACCCAGAGATAATAAAATTCAAGTCAGCTTCTTCACACAGGCAATGTGTCTATTTAAAAATATTTAATACCCTCGTGCCTTCAAACGTGATGTGACAAACAGTTCTAGCTGCCCTAGACTACCAAGGGCAAGGCCACTAATTATTGCCTGCTTACTTTGCCTTGATGGATTCATTTCTAAACCAATTCTGTCCCTGTTCTGAAATCTTCCTCCTTTTATCCAAAGCTCCTTTACCAGCTCTAGCAGAAGTCCAGCCCTCCATAGCCCTTGGAGCAGAGTTAACTTCCATGAACAGCACCTACTGGAGCTCCTCTTTTTGGTCCCAAGGTTTTTGGAGGATGGAATGTTTTCCTTGGACTTCTGAAAAACCCCATGCTCTCCTCCCACTGCACTCTCACAGAGCGACACCATTTTGGTTATGAGACCTATTTTGCCACCATTCCACAGCCCCTGTGAACCACTCCCACCTCAGAACCACAGACTCACTCTGGTTGGAAGAGACCTTCAAAATCTTCTAGTCCAACCATTAACCCAGTGCTGCCAAGGCACCACTAAACCCCTCCCCAATAGACACCACCATTTTATGCAGCACATCATGCTCTCATGACTATCTATATTTTTATCTACCACAAACCCCCAATATTAACATGATAACAGAGCCCAGCTCAGCTGGCAGCACAGGCCCAGTGCTGTGGGCACGCTGGGGGTGGCTGGTTCCCAGTTGCCACAGCTCAAAGGCTGGTTGCCCCTGTATATGCTCATGGAGCCTGGTGCTGTGGGTAATACCTGCTCTTAAAATAGCTCAGGCACTTAAGGCCACGTTCTGTAGCTCCTAGACCTCTGAATGGGACAGAAGTTACTTCAGGTTATCAAACTGCTCTCCTATCAGGAGGAAAATGTGGACTGCTAGCTGGAGTTCTGGCCATGACGACGTGCACAGGCCTTTAACCCAACCTCTCCAAGACTCTGAGTAACCTTCTGCTTGCTCAGCCACATTTCTTGGAGAACTTCCCCCGTATCTGTGAGGCCTCTGCCTGTGCTTTGCATTCTGATCACAAGAAAAACTGGCATGGTTCAATAAATATGAAAGTTCTTGTGGCAAGAGGCAGCTCCCAGCACCAGTGCCTGGCTCTGCAGAGGGAGGTCCATCTGTTGGGGCAGGAATTCACAGATGCCTGTCAGGCACTGCTGCAGGATGCTTCCAGATATCCAGTCCTAGGACACTGCACTTCCCTGGAGGGTGCACCCCCTTCCTACCTCCTCTCTGGTGTCTACAGCTGCCCCCCTGTTAATCTCCTCAGGCAAAGTGAATACTCCCCACTTGTGCCTCTACCTGCCCTCTCCCACTCCTCCAGACTCCACCAGCACCTAGTGCTATCTTGAGGTGAAAGTCTTTACCTGCCTAATCTTCTCTATTCTAGCACATAAGAGTCTCTCCAGGCCACCCACTCTTAGTTACTGGAGGCTCAGCATTCAGAGAGAGGAAGTGGGAACATCTCTGTAGCCCACAGGAGCACCAGAGTGTTTAGGAACTCTTCCCACTTGAGCCATGCCCCTCCTTACCCGTGCCCTTAACACACTTGCAACAAGGATATCTGGAAACCCTACCCCAAAAGAAGGTTGCCCCAGTTCATGCCATGACTTTGGGAAACAGCAGCTAGTGCAGAGGGTAGACAACACCTGGAGTGCCAGAAGATCACATGAGAACGGTCCTAGGATTGTCCATGCATCTGACAGCAAGTCCCAAGTCCACCCCAACACCCATAAACCCCACACCTCTGTTCCCACGAGGAAGGCCAGGTCCTCCTCACCCTCACCCACCAGCACTGGAGCCTTTGAGGCTGCACTGGGACACGCTCTCCATGCCCTCAGCTGACAGCTCCAGGCAAGCAGGTGGCACAGTCCACCCCAGGGCTCCATGGTCAGTGAGCAAGGTCCAACCATGGCAGCAAAGGCTGAGCCAACAGCTTCTGTTTCTCTGGGTCAGGATTAGGGCTGGCCAAGGATTTCCTGCCCCACGTGCTCATGATTTCCCACAGATTTATGAGGTACAAAGCAGCTGGACTGGAAGAAAGTCCCAAGTAGGGTGATCTCAGCTTCTCATCCTCTAGTCTCTCAGGGGTGCAATTGGGCCAGGAACATTTCAAACAAGAGCTGTTCTACTAGGACAGCAAATGATCACAGGTACCCTCCAAAGGCCTCACCTCAACAGTTTCACCAGGAGTCCAGAGCTCCAAGTGCCTCCTCACCACTGAAAGGGCACGATGGCCAAGATGAAGCCCCACCACCACTGGTTCCAACTGAAGACAGAGCCACTGGACCTCCACACCCAGCTGTTTCTTTCTCCAGTAAGCATGCACTGGACCCAGCTGGAGAGAGGCTTCCCAACAAACTGTCATGAACTCCAGCAAAACCAAGACCAGGACAACTGCTAAGGGAGAGCAGTCACTACCTCAGACAGCTGAACTACACCTGGAGGATGAAGCAAGGTCAAGGCAGAGGTGCCCACGTCTCTGCAGAGCCCTAGTGATGTAACGAGGATAACAGCCTGAACCCATCACCCAAACAGGGGAACATCTCCACGATGGGGAAAGAATCCCTTTCACTCACTGATATTAAGTCCTTTGCTAATCTTCTTTGCACAACAGCTCTAAAAATACAGCAGCTGAAGGTGCCCGAGGTGACAGAGCTGAAGCACCAAGCTGCAGGCACCACAACGTGCTGGTAACAGGCTTCAGCCTTCAGCACTGAGGAGACAGCTGGCAGGAGAGCAGCCCATCTTCTGCACCCTGCACACATACTGAGCCTGCAGCAAAGGAGGCTCAGGGGAGACCTTCTGGCTCTGCACAGCTCCTGACAGGAGCCTGGAGCCAGGTGGAGGTCAGGCTCTTCTCCCAAGGAACAAGGGACAGGACAAGAGGAAACAGCCTCAAGCTGCCCCAGGGGAGGGTTCAGTTGTCCCTGAGGAACAATTTCTTGCCCTGGAGGGTTGCCCAGGGCGGTGCCAGGCTGCCCAGGGCAGTGGTGGAGTCCCCACCCCTGGAGGGGTTTCCAAGCCCTGGAGATGTGGGGTGAGGGCCACCTGGCAGGGCTGGGGAAGGGTTGGACTCAATGATCGTAAAGGTCATTTCCAACCAAACCAATTCTATGACTCTATGATCCTCTCATCAAACCAGCATCCATCCACAACAGCACACTTCTGCTCCAAGAGGGAAACTGAGGGAGGTTATAAAGACAGAAGTATTTTATGTTTTTTCCAAGCTGTTGCCAGAACTCACTGTTATCTGCTCCTCACTGACACTGCAGAGCATGAGCTGAGCCAGAGGAGCCCCCAGTCAGTGGAAGCAAACAGAAAGTACTCTGTGCCCTGGGGTAATGCTTTGCCTGCTAATCCTTTCACCTCCTTGTTGCAGTAACTCTGCACTGACTCTTCCAGAGGGACTACAACTTGTCTCTCCCTTCTCTGCCCCTTTCAGGAATCCCCCAGCAGCACTGTGCCACCACGTTCTACGTGCATGCCCACCCCATTGCCTTGGGACAGCCACCTCCATGGCCAAAGTCTTGAACAGCATCAAATTTATTGCTATAAAATGGATGGCTCCACAAAGCCACACTCTCCCTTCTCCTGAACTCCACTGGGATTAACACCAACTGACAGAACCAGCTCAGGCTGACAACTCCCCCAGCCCAAGAGGTCTGGCATGTCACCCCAAACCCCAGCTTGGGCTCCTTCCCTTGCCAGATCAGACTGAAGACAGCCCTGAGCAGCTGCACAGCACCAGGGGAAACCATCTCAACCACCCAGGTTACAACTGTTATTTCCTTAAAGGTGCAGATTAACCTGCTTGCTTTATACCCAGCCCAACCATTTCACACCAGAGGGTGGCTCAGGCCCACCAGTGTCCTTCCCTAAATCAGGTGGGTTTTTCCTACATTTCTTGCAAAAAGCATTGAAATGTTGGGGTTTGGTACTGGACTGTATTTTCCATCTGGACACGAGGAAAAACTTCTTTGGAGTGAGGTTCTTCTCTCCACAGAGAGGCTGTGGAGTCTCCTGCTCTGGAGAGATCCCAAACCCTCCTGGCTGTGACCCTGGGCACCCTGCTGTGGGTGAGCTGCTGGAGCAGGGGGGTTGGAGGAGATGATCTCCAGAGGTCCCTTCCAACCCCACCACGCTGGGATTCTGGGATAATGTGACCAACATATAAATATAATTTAAATCTTTGCACTCCTCTCCTTCAGGCTGCAATTACACAGTAAGTTTCACAAAAGGGCTGGGTGAAGACAGAGGGATTTGGGATCTGTTTGAACTCAAGATATTTTGCTTGAAAACAGAAGCAATTACTTTGGGTGTGTCTAAAGTGTAAGAAAAAAAAACTCATTTAGATACAGCTGACAGCCTGATGGAATTACAAATTTTTAAAAAGTAGAAAACAAATGAAAAAAAAATCACAAGTGAAACGTCTTTTCTAGCTAAAAACAACCCTTAAAATATGCAGAAAAGTGGCAAGAGCTACTCAAGGCTTCAGTAGTGTCAGATCTTCCTCTTACCAGCACGAAGGGATGCATCTGTGAGCAGAGATTACCCTGAAGGTCAGCCAGATGCCAAACAAGAACAAGTCATACAAGAATACAAGTGTCAAAAACAACAAAAGAGAGACAT